GAGAGAGAGATGGGGGGAGGAGAGAGAGAGAGAGAGAGAGAGAGAGAGAGAGAGAGAGAGAGAGAGAGAGAGAGAGAGAGAGAGAGAGAGAGAGAGAGAGAGAGAGAGAGAGAGAGAGAGAGAGAGAGAGAGAGAGAGAGAGAGAGAGAGAGAGAGAGAGAGATGGGGAGGAGAGAGAGAGAGAGAGAGAGAGAGAGAGAGAGAGAGAGAGAGAGAGAGAGAGAGAAAGACAGAGAGAGAGAGAGAGAGAGAGAGAGAGAGAGAGAGAGAGAGAGAGAGAGAGAGATGGGGAGACAGGAGGAGAGAGAGAGAGAGAGAGAGAGAGATAGAGATGGGGGGGAGACAGAGAGAGAGAGAGAGAGAGAGAGAGAGAGAGAGAGAGAGAGAGAGATGGGGAGAGAGAGATAGGGGAGTAGGGAGAGAGAGAGAGAAAGAAAAGATGGGGAAGACAGGAGAGAAAAAGTATAAATTTATCGTAACAGTAAACCTGATTTTTTCAACTATTCACATCTTAGGAAAAAATAAGATTACGTCCACATAAACTCAACATGGCAACACGTCAATTGCTCTCTTTTTGTATCGTTTATCCCCCGCCTGGTCTCAATACGTTAAGTAACACAAGGTCACCACTAGCAGAAAGGCCAGTCGCCAGAATCCAGAAGTGCTGTCGCAACCCAGAAGAACCACCACAAATCCTTTAGTGCGATGCTCATTTACTTCCTTTCACGGTTCGACACAGGAAATACTATACTCGTAAATACGTGAATCCCTTTTTGATACTTTGGAATGCATACCGTTTTATGCGACGCTGTTTGGTTTTCGAAGTCCGAGTCACGATACCACAAACACGTAATTTTTTTGTGTTTAAACGATCTCTTTTATTTTTATTTATTTTCCAATATGACAAAATTGCCAGAAATAGGTTAGATCCTTTGTTTCTAAGTTGAGATTCAAACTATTCCAGCGGTGTTCATTTGTTTTCCCGAGTGTATCCCTGAAAAATTATATAAGCACCAATCGTTTCAATGATTCACCTCTTGAATCCTAGCCTTCTGCGATGCTCACTTTGTGTTCCCAAGCTGCGTCGGCCACACATGACGCTACCACCATACAATACAACACCTTCACCATTCTACCAGCTAATACATATGCTAAACCAATCTGGTCCATTCCATCAACACCCTCTGTGATTGGTTACCGTGGCACCGCTACGCCAAATCAGGACCCCTGTGATTGCCATTGTGGCGCAGATCACCGACGTGATATATACTTGATTGGAGAGGATATTATGCGGCGAATCGTAGCGTAGTTCACACCGTAACCCTCCTCTGTCTTTGGTCCATCTGGCGGGGAAGTAGCAGGAGGGTTATGGTAAGGCGGCAGGCGGTCAAGCAGCGGGTGTGTTGGCAAGCCTAGCATGTCAAGTACCACATATGTTCCCAATAACACATCATGGCGCCACAGTATGCCAGAGATACAAACCTATACTCTAGTATTCTTATTAGAAGTAGCTACAAGGGAAGATCACATGGCTACCGTATGACATAAATATAAGAAAACACGAAAAGAAAAAAATCAGTAAGTATATACGATAATAAAAATACGAAAATGGTTAGTAATTTTTCATGGTAAAAGCTGACGCCATAGATTGTATATCAGAGTTCTAATTGTTTTTGTTTTTACCCAAAGGTTAAAAGCCCGTGCATCTTTTTAAGTTATATGTCATCTATATCTGTTAACTCCCTCTTTACCAACCTCCTCCCTCCACTCAACATCCCCCTTTAACCATCCTCCCCTCGTCCAACATCCTCTTGCCCAACCTTCTCCCTTTCCCATCCTCCCTTGACCAACCCCCCTTAAATAACCGCCCTTAAATAACCTCCCCCTTCACCAACCTTCCCCAACTTTATTAACACATCCACCCATTAACCCTCACCCATAACTCTATATAACTGGGAACCAACTCATTATCCCCATTCTATAAATCCCCATAAAGTTAGGAGTTACAACAGACTTCTATGAAACGTGCCAAGGAGGAAAAATTACACCACGTGATTGAGATTTAATTCATTCGGGGAACTTACTGTCGCGTATGACCATTAGTATCACTACAAATATAACTGTAACGCTCTCTAATGTAGATCAACCATAAATTTAACAACACTACAACTTACCCACCCTACCCCACACCCCTACTCCTACCCTCACCCTGCCTCCCCATGCCCTGCCCTCTGCCCTGCCCCCAAGGCTCCCCTGCCCTGCCCTGCCCTACCCTACCTTACCCCCAAGTTCCTGCCCTGCCTTACCCTAACACCCTACCCTACTCCTACCTCCTACCCTACCCTGCCCCTGCCCCTGCCCTGCCCCACCCCCTTGCCCTGCCCCTGCCCTGCCCTGCCTCTGCTCCCTGCCCCTGCCCCTGCTCCTACCCTACCTACTCCTGCCCCTGCCCTGCCCCTGCCCTACCCTCTACCCTACCCAACCCTACCCTACCTACCCTACCCTTACCCTGCCCTACCCTACCCCTTCCCTATCCTAGCTACAATTAACCAATATACAAGTATTATATTACTCACCTCTTTCTACAACTGATGTTATTAATACAGTTATAGGCAATTCATACCCAAGGGAGTTTAAGCCGCTAGTGGGTGTAAGGTATAACAGACGCCCAACCACTGATGTATACATTCGTCTGGTGGATAAGCTGAACAAACATCACACCACGCTGATGAAACAAACATTCAGGGCAACAGGAAAGCATTCTTTAGTGACATGGGAGTGACGACGCAAGACATTACAAGAGTAGAAAAGCCTAGAGGGAGACAATAGTGCATTTGCAGATTAGATTGTCAACATCAAAGGTTGGAGAAATAGTTTATTTATCTGAGATTTTCGCCAGACTCCGAAATAACCAAACCAAACCTAACCTAACCTAACCTAACCTAACCCTCACCTAACTTAATCTCATTTCCATTACCATTGGGCCCCATTAAGCCCTATTAGGACCTGTATCCATTAGAGCGCGCTAACTTCGCAATCTAAAGAAAGACTGGTTTCAAAAATAAAGCACTTGAAACGCAAAACTAAGCAGATCAACACAAGATGTGCGAATTTTTCACTCCACTAAAATATTCATATTTTATGGCCAATCCCTCATAGTGCAGCTTCCCTTCGCTCATCCGACGGTGACTCCCTAATTAAAGACTAAATAAGAAGGCATCCGTCAGCGCTGGTAACAGCACTACCATTCGCTGGGCAACCGAACACCGATGTGGATGTCCTGATTACCTAGCAGGTCCCTCAGCTTCCAGAGCTGACTCCACCTCAGCTATTCTCACCCCTGGATGAGGTAGTTACTGCTATCAAACAGAGGAAAAATAGCAAAGCCTCAAGTCCTTAAGAAAATGTGGAATCCCCCAGCAAAGGTGTGTAAAGCAGGAGGACATTCTGCTTACCAGCCGCTCCCTACTCTCCTGGAGAATATATGGGGAAAGGAGGAAATCCCCCAAACCTTAAAGACGCCCCCAATCGTAAATATTTATAAGAACAAGGGAGACTGGTCAGACTGTGGCAACTACCGTGGATCTCGCTTCTGTCCGTAGCTGGAAAGATTACAGCCCGCTTCCCTCCTAAAACAGACTTCTTCCCGGAGGCGGAAAACTTCCTCCCAAAATATCAGTATACCTATAGACCAGGGGTTCTCAATCTAGGGGAATGGGGTGAATTCAGGTTTTCAGGGGAGGGAAACTTGATTCGGGGAGCGTAGATATGTTCGATGAGAAATCAATCACAGAATTTTGTCCCTTGATGTGCGATTCCTACCCCAAAAGTGGCAGAAAGAGCTATCCGTGCATTGCTTCCGTTTGTGTCGACATATCTTGTGAGTCAGGCTTTTCAACTCTGTTAAAACGAAGCAACGTAGTAGATTAGAGGTAGAAATGACCTTGCGTTGTGCCCTTCAAGCACCTCCAAGTGCGTATCCCAGAATTGGCGAAGAAAAAACAATCACAGGTTTCATTGACTGTAATCTTCATCTGAATAAAAATTAATTACAAATTTACAATATCCTGGTATTCTTATTGAACTTTTTGTTTATTGCATTATGCTTCAGTTTGGTTCGTTAAGTAATTCACTATAAATATAAAAACTATTTTCTTTTATTCAAGTTTCTTATAAATCCATCAAATATTTTCAATTGGCATTTAATTTTGTAAAACCTACCGTAAAAATAATCCATGTAAAATTGTAAATGTATATGTACTAATATGGAAAATAAAGGTTTTCAGTATTATATATGCATATTATTTGGAATGCACTTTTTGAGGCAGACAATCTTGAAAGGAGGGGGAATGACATTCTGACATATGGTGAAAGGGTGTATGGGGCAAACAAGGCTGGTAACCACTGCTATAGGACCATCAAGTGTGGCACCACTGACATGATCTTTGCTGCCCTCAGACAGCAGGAAAAAAGTGCAAACAACAGCAAGTCATGACCTGTAGGTAGAAGGTAGTAGGTAGCTGTCAAACAGGGAGGTACTACTGCCTGGGAAGATATTAGAAGCATAATGTATTAATCTAATTGTAGACCCCTGCTGCCATATGGCATCACGAAAATTGTGACCAAGTCCAAGGTTGCTGATCTGACTTTCTGCCTCATTTATTGTACATACAATTGTTGGTCTCACTGTTTCTCTTACTTGACAACACAACATACATAATGTGTATCGTTTCTCATTCTTGATTTATTTTTCGTTTTTTGTATTTATTTATGGTTATTATTATTATTTTTAGTATTATTTTTTAATTTTAGTACAGATAGTTTTGTTATTATTATTATTATTATTATTATTATTATAATAATAATAATAATAATAATAGTCATTATTATTATCATCTCCAGGATGCCCGCCGATCCTGGGGGCATCCCTAGGGGTGGCCTGCCCCTGGGAAGGCCCTGGCGTCGATGCAGGCCATGAGAGGTCCCCTGAGGCTTCAAACCTATTTGAAGGTCCCTGTGGGCTCTGGGAGTGGCCTTGTCGCCGCTGCCCCAACGAGGGCCCCTGAAGCACGGGAACCTGGTGGGGTGCCTTGTAGAGCCCCAAAGAGCGCTGCTCCTTGTAAGACCCCTCGGGGGCAGTTGTTTTGCACTATTTGTAATTGGGAGATATAACATTAAATACATACACCACCCAACGCATTTGTGCATCACGACTGCGAACAATGTAAAGAAGACTAAAATATCCACCAGGAAACATGCTAAAGTGCTGTGCTGACTGACTGCTCTGTTCTCCTCTATTGGCTGTTATTTGCGTATTTACTATTCCACCAATCACAGCAAATATGTGGATTGCCGGATGTATGCAATATGTATGACACCACGCAAGGTATAGGGGCCCCGAGTGGCGCGCGATCGTAAGTATCCCTGGGGTTACCACCACCTCCTGGAGTGGCCTCGTGAGCACCGCCAATCCTGAGGTCTCTGGGGGTGCCGCCAGCCCCGGTAGGGACTAGGGGGCGCCACAGTTCCTGGAAGAGACCCTGGGCACACAAACACGGCAGGGCCTCTGGGGCTTGCCATCTTGAAACTCTTGGGGGCGCTGCTTCCCTGGGAGGACCCTGGGAGCACCCCTCGCCGCCCCTGGGAGGGCCTCGGGAGCCACGTTCCCTGGAAGAAGGCCTCACTGTGCCACAGTCCCTGGCAGGCTCCTGGAGGCTACGCCGCCCTGGGAGGCCCCTGGGGTGCCACTGCCCTGTGAGGGCTCTTGGGGGCCCACGGACCTGAAGTGTCCTTCTGCGGCCACTGCCCATGGGAGGGCCCCTTGGTGTCATTGCACCCCCCGGAAGGTCTCCTGGGGTTGTCACAGTTCTCAGAGGGCCCCTGCGTCCCGGAAGGGCTTCGGGTTGCCGCCGCCCCTGCAGTGCTTCCGGAAAGCGCTGCACCTGCTGCAGACAGGAGGCCCAAAGGAGCGCTGTTCGTAGGGCCCCTTGTGGCAGTAGTTTATCACTCTTAGAATAATGGGAGATATGACGTTAAATAAACATACAGTCCATCGCATTTCCAGTATCTCTGCATCAGAAACACTATAAAGGAGACTAAATATCCAACAAGAGCATAAGTTGGGGTGTTGCTGACAGAGTGCTCTGTTCTCCTATTGGTTGTTATTCGGTGTATTTACATTTTAGTCCACCAATCACAGCAGAAGTATTGCTGGACGTATGGCTGCACATGTACAACACCACGACCAAGCAGGCTATAGTGCCCCCGTGGCAGCGTGCCTCCCCAAGAGGCCCCCTGAGGTCACCGCCACCCTGAGAGACCCTGGGAGCACCGCTAAACCCTGGAGGGCTCTGGAGGTACCGCCGCCCCCTGATAGGCCTTTTGAGGGCGCGACAGCCCTGGTGGGCCCTTTGGGGTGCCATACAGCCCATGGCAGCCCCTGGGGGATTTGCCACCTTTGGGAGCAGGAACCCCGGGGCGTACTGCCACCTGGGACGAACCTATAGGGGCGCTGTCGTCCTGGAGTGGCCTTGGGGGCGCCACAGTCCCTGGAAGAGGTACCTGTGCCAACCTGTGGCAGGGCTCCTGGGCCTGCTGCCCTTGGGAGGGCCCCTGAGGGGCGCCACGCCTCTGCAAGTCTCTGGGGGTTCCAAGACCCCTGGCTAGTCACTGTTCATAAAATGTCCGTTTTGGAGGTCTTTCTCAGTCCAGGGATGATGTTCCCAAACATTCCACTAATGAATATTTCAGTGTGTTTGTAATCATCACAGTGGCTTGTTTACATATGCCCCTGCTTCTACCCAAGCAGCACGTCACATACATTAATACATAGCTTTATGGAATTCTTGTTATACTGTACCGAAGTATCTGGTATGCCACATAAAAGGACAACTGCCTGCCCCTAATCCTACCCCCATCTCTAGTAAATGCTGGTGTTACTGACCTGTTAAGTTGTTCACCTGCAGTAACACAGTACCGGCGCTGGTGTTACTGACCTTGTTAAGTTGTTCACCCGCAGTAATAACACAGTAAATTGTTGTTGGTGTTACTGACCTTGTTAAGTTGTTCACCTGCAGTACAATACAAAAATTGTTGTTGCTCGACCTTGTTAAGTTGTTCACCTGCAGTAATAACATTATAAATAAATAACTGGTAGTACAAAAATTCTCTACTTCGATAATTATAATCATCTCCAATTGTCACTATTTATTGGTGTTAATGTATAATTGTGAGAAGTTTTCCTACATGGGTACTATTAATGAGTCATGAGGGTGAGAGGAACAGCACCAGGAATGGTGGTGTTATAAACTTATATAACTCTGTGGCCAAAACCAATGCTCATAATGAATGTAAAGTAGTAGAAAGTAGTAGGTAGCTACTAAAACAGGGAAACTACCGCCTGGGAAGATATTGAAGCGTAAATGCTGTCTAATGGTAGACCTGCCGCCATATGGCATCACGAAAATTAACGTCCCAGGTTACTAATCTCTCGGACTTTCGCTCATTTACACGCCACCGCAGGGTCTCAATTGTTTCTATTTTACCAACACAACATACGTAATGTGTATCGTTTCTCTCTTGATTTATTTTTTTTCGTTTTTGTATTTATTTATGGTTATTATTATTATTATTATTTTATTTGTATTTGTAGTAATTTACATTATTTTGTTAATTGTTGTACACACAATAATAGTAGATATATTATTACATATTATTATTATTATTATTATTATTATTATTATTATTATTATTATTATTATTATTATTATTATTATTATTATTATTATTATTATTATTATTATTATTATTATTATTATTATTATTATTATTATTACCAGTGTGTTTCACATGGTAATGTTTACTTCCCCAAGTGAGGCCAAGCTTAAACAGTTAGTATTACTTAATGTAGGTTAAACAAATTAAATACTGAAGCTCCAGTTGAGTGACGCCTTGGACGTCTTACTGTCAACCAATCGGCTGTCTTGCTACAAACAGCTCTAAGCAAAGTTGCAGTGAACAGACTATACAGTATATACTAAATAACATGAAATAAATAAATTAGTTTACAATTGATAAAATAACACATAATAAAGCCCATTATAATTCTTATCTGGCAGAACTTAAGTCTTTAATGACGTCAGTAAAGATGCTGTTTCTTATTGTATGACGATGACCAAGTTGACACAAACAATTATATCAGAGAATGATGACCACACACACACCACCAGGTCTTGTCAGCATCTGCCTTCCTCTGTAACAGCAGGTGAGCCACCCTGGTGTGGTCTCCTCGTGTAGAGCTGTCACATTATCCCTGCACCACCACCACCGCTCCACCGCTACACCATAAAATAAACCCTACAAATAACTGATAGATGACGTACATGTAGGGCTCAAGAACAACAAATGTCATAAAAGGTAGAAAATAGACTATAAATATTACGTATCATTACATCACTGATGGCAAATATTTAGTAGAGACGTCAATATAAATGTTATGATGTATTACTTTATGTGTACAAGGTGAATGTTGAGGTATTATTATACTACAGTACAGTACAGTACAGAGGTAGTAACAATAGCGCTAGTTGCGCTAGTTAGGCTGCACCTCGATTATGCGGTTCAGTTCTGGTGCCCCTATTATAGAATGGATATAAATTCACTAAGCTAACCTAACCTACAACTCCTGAACATTTATATAAAGAAGACGAGAACACATTACTCATGCTAACTGTCAGCCAACATAGTAACTTTCTTGAAGGCGCTGTTAAACGTCTTACTCAGTGGACACCAAAATAAAACTTCGACTCAGGTTTAAAAATGTTGATGATTTTATTGGGAGGAAAATAAGAAAATTACGGTAAATTCTCGCAGTGCTACAGGTCATCCTTCGCTGAACGGTCGTGTCGTGGAAGCAGGGGAGAGGAGAAGGAAGAAGAGGAGGAAGAGAAGGAGGAGGAAGAGAAGGAGGAGGAAGAGAAGAAGGAGGAAAAGGAGGGAGTTTCGACCTATGACAGGGAGACGGGTGCTCTACATACATGTATGGTGTCCGGCCTTAGCGTGGTAGGGAGCTCTATTATCTCTCTCGCTTGGTGTAGTATCCGGGTGGAGAAGATCGTAAGTGGAGTTACTGGAAGGTGGAACATGTCCATCTCTGGCCACTCACACAGAACGGTGTCTTGGTGGCGTTGTGATCTGTTTGTTTACCCCGACGATGCAGAAAGTAGTGAGGCGGTGTAGTGGTTCCAATGCTATTCCCAAGATGGTTACTTACATTCCTCATGTTTTACTTTTCATTCCTAACTCATTTAAAGTTTATATACACAGGCCAAAACTTCTTACAAATATTTATAAAGATATTTTCCGGGAATTACACTTGTGCGCGGGAAAGTTTGCGCCACGGGAGAGTTCATAATGACGTTCATGTTTACGCTGTGGTCCTCCCTTTTAATTCTCACTTAAGCCATTCTTCTAAAAGTTACACGACCTCCTTATTTGTTTTAGAGAAATTTTCGCCTCCTTAATGAATGGTGCAGGAGTCATCTGCATTAATTAGCATGGTAATGAGGCAAAACAGGAGCGGCGTGCATTAAGCTTCACTTACCTCGTTAAAACCATCTTCATATTCTCCTCATAGGGTTTATCCTCCCCACACCCAGCGCGCCAACACATGCTGCCTCGCAGGACTATTTTCCTCTGGAGTTATTATTACGGGAACAGCTATAGGACAACATCTCTTATTTAACTCGTTTATAATCTTTGAATTTTAATATTTACTTGAATCGAGAATTTTCCTTTATATGTAATTATATTTAAGGACTTTCTTTGTTACTTAACTACGAGTATATATTTCAAGGGTGATAGTGTGTACACATCAGTTGGTATACAACTGACAAGACGCCCATCAAAGTTTGTGTCAGTTATTATAACTATTTACTCCCTTGTCTCTCTCTCTCTCTCTCTCTCTCTCTCTCTCTCTCTCTCTCTCTCTCTCTCTGTTTTCTCTTCGTCCAACTTCCGCCTGAAGAAAAATAAATCATATCATCACACAATAATAAATTTATTTTAACACACAAATTGTTTTTGTGTGATCTAGCTGAGGGAAGTGTGTCAGTCCGGGGATTTTCGCAACATAAAATCCCGCTTATGATTTTGACCATGTTGTCAAAAGTCATGAATATTCACTTGTCAAAGTTATTACTTATCAACTATATATTTTTGATGTGTGTGTTTTAGCCATTTTGAATAATATGTGACGAACAGATGGTTCCGTCCACGCTTAGGGTATATTGTTAACTGGGTATTTTAACCAATAATAAATGTAACGGAGATGAAACAAAAGCTAGTAATTAAACGATAAAGTATCCATATTAAGTACCAATTAAACATCTCTTCCTGGTACACCAAATTTATCTCAGAAGTTCAGTTTGTTTCAGAAGTGAGTTTGACGCAATACATTACCCACTCCTCCCTGCCTCCCTCTCCCTCCCTCTCCCTCCCTCCCTCCTCCCTCCTCCCCCCTCCCTCCCTACATCCCAATTCTCCTCCTCCCTCCTCCTCCTCCTCCCTCCCTCCCTCCCTCCTCCTCCCTCCCTCCTCCTTCCCTCCTCCCTCCCTCCAACATTAATAACTACTGCACCTTAGAATTAATAAATGGATAAATCAATAAACAAAATAATAACTGTCCCCCGTCTAGCTCTCTCTGGCCTGACTGCCGCCGGCTTGTAGGTGTATCTGACTATCCCTGAGTATCTGACTCGTCCGTCTAGCGCTGCTGGTCCGGCTCCCGTCCACCTGTCACCAGCTGTCAGCCGCATCCCCTAGAGGTGTCAAAACTGTCTCCCATCTCCAGATAACTTAACACACACACACACATACACACACACAGGTAAAACGTCAGTTATCAAAGACTTTTCATCATAAGAATCGATAAATATTGGTATTTATCGATGTCTCATTTAACCCTAAAATTTAGAACACAGGAAACACACACATGAAAAATGAACCAAATTATATTGATAATTATGGAGGTAAAGATTCATTAAGCTCAGATATCACGTGTTTATAAACCTTTGACTTAGTGGTGTTGACTGAGACTAATTAAACCCGAGTTTTAATGAGGAATCGAATGACAAACGTGTTATTTCCTCCCATTTGCTTAGTTGTGCGCGTCATTGTGTCTCGAGAGGCTTCATAGTGCTTCATGGAGCTTCAACTTGGACTTCACGGTGCTTCGAAACACTGAGTTCACAGGGTTAAAAATTCTGGATGTATTATGTTAAAATTCATCATACTCGACTCACCCACCCAACAGCTGGGTGGATTAGGGATATCCAGGGCTCAAACCAGTGACCTATGGGATACGAGATGAGCACTGTAGCCACTCGACCACTGCACCCCTATTGCTGTGGGTACCTTAACGTGTACTTCATGAATATTAATGTAACTTAGACACTACTTAACCTAATAATTACCAGCTTGTGTTACAGACAGGGACAGGTAATCATCTCATTAGTTATGGGTTGTGTTAAGAGCAACCTGTGTAACTTCATTATCTCAGGGTTGTGTTACTGGCAATAGTTATGTGACCTTTATATCCAAGAGAGTACGGATTGCAGTAGCTAATTACGACATTAAATCAGGGTCACATTATCAATAAGGTAATTACTGTAACTAGTATTAATGTGATGTAATTAATGTCACTTATCTGGTATCATTACGACCGCATTATATTGATCAAGTTTACTCCAAGGATTACTAATTATTATCCAGTTAGGTTAGGTTAGATTAGGTTAGGTTAGAATTAATTAAGTAAAATAAAACCCAAACAAATCAGCAATACACGTGTCGACGCTACAACTCTAATACTTTAAAATATAATTTATATACCTATAGGCCTATTGGTCAGAAAATAAAATTAAGTTTAATATTCTCAGTTTCATTTTCTCAGGTTAACTTCTCTTTTTCTGTTTCATCATCAGCTTCACCTTCAACATAAGCTTCAACTTCAGTTTCTGCTTCAAATTCAGCTTCAACTTCTGCTCTCTATTTCAGCTTTGCTTTCATTCTCAACTTATATTTTAAATTCTGTTGCCCAAAAACTCTGTATAAACCAACTTGAACCAAACAAACAAGAACATCTATTAAAAGAAAAATAAGAAAGAAAAAACACTAGAGGAATGAACAGGTTCCGAATCCTCCCCTTGAATCTTTGCCTTCATTTAATTTCCATGACAGGAGGAGTGTACAATTGGCCGGCCGACTGACTTTACATAATTCGCCTCTCACAATGCTGATGTTGACTGATAGCTCCACCCTTCCAGCCTTCCCTCTCCTCTGCCTGACGCTTCCACCCAGAACTAATCCCTGGGTTTAATGAGAGGGATGAAGCCATATCCTCAACAAATCCTTAGCTGAGACAGAATTATCCCGTATTCTCAGCTAATCCTTTATGCCCTCTCCTCAACAAATCATTATTGAGAGAGATTATGTCGCATCCTGAACAAATCCTTGGCTGAAAAGGAATTATGCTGTATCCTCGGCTAATCCTTAATAAGAGGGATTATGCCCTATCCTCAGCTAATCCTTAATAAGAGGGATTATGCCCTACCCTCAGCTAATCCTTAATAAGAGGGATTATGCCCTATCCTCAGCTAATCCTTAATTAGAGGGATTATGCCCTATCCTCAGCTAATCCTTAATAAGAGGGATTATGCCCTATCCTCAGTTAATCCTTAATAAGAGGGATTATGCCCTATCCTCAACTAATCCTTAATAAGAGGGATTATGCCCTATCCTCAGCTAATCCTTAATAAGAGGGATTATGCCCTACCCTCAGCTAATCCTTAATAAGAGGGATTATGCCCTATCCTCAACTAATCATAATAAGAGGGTTATGCCCTACCCTCAGCTAATCCTTAATAAGAGGGATTATGCCCTACCCTCAGCTAATCATAATAAGAGGGATTATGCCCTACCCTCAACTAATCCTTAATAAGAGGATCATGCCCTACCCTCAGCTAATCATGATAAGAGGGATTATACTATCCTCCAGCTAATCCTTAATAAGAGGTTATACTATCCTCAGCTAATCATAATAAGAGGGATTATGCCTATCCTCAGCTAATCCTTAAAAATAGGGATTATGCCTATCCTCAGCTAATCCTTAATAGAGGATTATGCCCTACCCTCAGCTAATCCTTAATAAGAGGGATTATGCCCTATCCTCAGTTAATCCTTAATAAGAGGGATTATGCCCTATCCTCAACTAATCCTTAATAAGAGGGATTATGCCCTATCCTCAGCTAATCCTTAATAAGAGGGATTATGCCCTATCCTCAGCTAATCCTTAATAAGAGGGATTATGCCCTATCCTCGGCTAATTCTTAATAAGAGGGATTATGCCCTACCCTCAGCTAATCCTTAATAAGAGGGATTATGCCCTATCCTCGGCTAATCCTTAATAAGAGGGATTATGCCCTATCCTCAGCTAATCCTACTCTTCTTCCTCTTCCTCCACCCACATCTCTTCCTCCTCCCTTTTATCCTCCTCTTACCACCTCTTTCCCCTCCTGTTTATCTTCTCTCTTCCTCCTCCTCCTCTCCTCGCTTCAATATCACCCACGCACCGCCTCGTCGGCAAGAAGGAGGGTACAAGACCATGCTGTGAGCTGCCGAACAATATGACAGCGACACATTATTGGGCTAAAACTTATGTCCTCGCTTGTCACTCTGGCGTCACTCTCGACACACTGTACACCCCTCTTCTGCCCCGACCTCTCCCACCCATATTACTAATGAAAAAAAAAATCAGATCCAAGGGAAAGCAGAAAATCCTTGAAACATGTTAAACCCGCTAAATATTGTTGGTAAAGATTAATTTTAGGATAAAGATTTCTTGAATTATTGTGTGTGTGTGTGTGTGTGTGTGTGTGTGTGTGTGTGTGTGTGTGTGTGTGTGTGTGTGTGTGTGTGTGTGTGTGTGTGTGTGTGTGTGTGTGTGTGTGTGTGTGTGTGTGTGTGTGTGTGTGCGCGCGTATTTTTTTTTTTATTATGCAGTTCTCTTGATGTGTTGATGTCTTGTCTGACCACCAAACTAAAACAGCAAAAAGCCATGACTTACTTAATCACATGTCAAGAGACGCTTGGCTGAAAGGACATCACCACGAGCCAAGGGCACATAGCAGACGTCTCTCTCTCTCTCTCTCTCTCTCTCTCTCTCTCTCTCTCTCTCATTGGAACAGATAACCGGATATTCTGGAAGTACTTATTTCATGATCTAGT